TGTGGGTGTGTGTGTGTGTGTGTGTGTGTGTGTAAAAAAATGAGGCATATAACAAGAAAGGGTTAAAACTTTACCCAGAATTTACAATGAAATAAAACAGTTTTCCTTCCATAAGGCCTTTGCTAGAATCCTGTTGGCATGTCATTCCTGAGTACAGTAAATGCAATTATGTAATTCATGGTGGTGAACTGCAGCTAAATAACAAGGTGCTGGCCATATGCCTGGTTGCATCTTGTCAGGTGACTAACATACCACCAAGCATGCAAACAGAGTCTTCTTAGTTATCTGCAATTTTAGTATACAGGGTATTATTATAAACCCAATTAACAATTTTATCTTAGAATTAAATTATTTAAGATACTCTGCAGTAAAATCCCAATAGGATTCTGGCCCTTGAATCTGCCACTGATGAAGTCTCCTTTCTCCAGGTTGTTGCTTTGTCTTTTTCACCACAAAAATGGTGATATCTTTATTATGCAAGCTTCTCTTTCTCTGTTTACGGCTTCCATCCCTCTTCTTCACTCCTTTAACCTGAATATCTTGAAAATCTGTTTCCAAAGGATTATGTGCATTATGGCCTAGCTACATAGGGAAAAAAGCTGGACGTGGTGGTGCTGTGGGTTAAACCACAGAAGACCAGCCATCGTAAGATCAAGACCACACAACGGAGTGAGCTCCCATCGCTTGTCCCAACTCCTGCCAACCTAGCAGTTTGAAAGCATGTAAAAATGTGAGTAGATAAATAGGTACCACCACGGTGCTAAGGTAACAGCATTCCATGTCTAGTCACACTGGCCACATGACCACGGAAACTATCTACGGACAAACGCTGGCTATGGCTTGGAAACGGGGATGAGCACCGCCCCCTAGAATCGGACACGACGGGACTAAATGTCAAGGGGAGCCTTTACCTTTACATAGGGAGAGAAATGTGAATTCACTTGCTATAAAATCAAACTGGGGATTTGGGTTCGGTTTGGGTATTTAAATATCAGGGTATATAAAATGCCCTTAAGTATATTTTAATTATCTCTTGGGTTAATAATAAAAAAATCCTGTATGACAGGTTATATTAACAGCAGCAGCAGCTTGGGGTCATTTTCATTTGGAGGGAAAGCTACAATTGTGCAAGGATATTTTCTGCAAAGTTTATTTACTGAAGCTTTTCCAGAACTACATGAGATCACACCCAGTGCAAATTTCTGTATCACCTTCTTTCATTAGACAACATGGCACCTTTGCAAATTTTGTAAATATCATCTTTTCAGATGGGTACTTGGATTTAAAAATTTGGTAAATTTCTCTAAGATTATCAAGTATCAGATGCTTTTGGACATGAGTTCGAGAACCATCTTCATCTTTGATTGAAATATAATCTTTCTTGCTGGACATTT